CTGCCAAAAATCATAAAATGTTTTATTAATAACAGTAACGATATATAAATATTAACAAATAATAATAAAACGAAACAATAGGAATATCAATTAACGCAATAATAAATTAATTTAATTAACGGCTTAATTATTCGAATATTTAATACTAACTGATAGAAATTAATCAGATCGTAGGTAATGAGTCGAAACGACTTAATTAACGAGCGCATCTTGATTCTATCAATTTCTGAGCCGCCCTGTAGACGGACTTAGAATTAATAATGTGCGCACTGCCTCGTAATACGTCGTACAAACGCATTACACGGCACCAATTAAAACTCGAAAAACAGGAAAACTGGCGGGATTTTTCGCGTTCTAACAACCCGTTCGAGAACATCCAGAAGACCTTCATTCACCCACGCGCAAGCAGTTATATCCTCAAAAGCGGATAAGTGAGAAGGCGGAGAACAAGAGTAAGGAACTATTCAAGAGAATTACACCAGTTAAAATGATTTTTCGTTTACAAATGCGTACTCCTTAGCTACGCTCTAATAAATGCTCTCACGGGAACTATAAAGTGGCGACTCTGTACTGGGTGTCTCCAAACCGTCTATCATCAACTATCGTATTTGTTGCTGCGATAAAAGCTTAAACGAGAATTTAACAAATGCTCATAATTTATCGAAATTTTAATATTTAATGCGAAGTAAAATTCTATTGCCAATTATTAATATAACAATATCAATTCCAAATCTAGCATTCTTTTGTAATAATAAAACTATCTTTCACTTCTATTTTCTCGTTTATTGATAATTTACTGATATTTATAGAGGAATTTTTATAAATAAAAGATATTTTTAATAAAATATTTATAATTCCTAAAAACGAAATTCATTGAACAGAAAATAAAAATTTATTAAAATTTGTATATCGAATTTTTTGTTAAAAATTTTTTTTATTCACTTTTTAGAAAGTATCTTGAAAGTAATAGTCGAGATAACCGAACGATTTCGAAATTGTTTATTTTGATTTGTAATTGGATTAATATACAATTATTTCGAGACACTCTATAGATGCTTGTATAAAAGTAATAATGTCACGCGGACCTGCCACGACGCAAATAGAGGCTCTTCCTGAACCTATTTTCAGAATCGTTGGCGTCGACGAAAGTCGTAATTCAACGAGTTACATTAACGAGTTGTGACTGAATGAGAGCGAAGAAAAGATAGCGACAAGATGGGAAAATCTATGAAGAGAGAGACAGAGAGTAAGAAAAACGCTTGCATTCCCAATGGACATACTGAATGGGTTCCGCACTGAAAACCGTTCCCGCAGACGAGAGAAGATAGAAACGAAGCAATGTTTTCATAACCCAGTGCTAAGAATACAAGTTATAAGCTGTAAGGCAATTCGATCGTTGGAGATATCATTCATATTGCTACGACAAAACTATTAGGCTTGTACAAAAAAATGCATCATTTATTTCTACATATAAAGGAGCTACTTATTAGAAAATTCGAATTTTAATCTTCGTCCTATTTTCCCTATCTTCATCCCGTTTCCTATTTTCATAATTTATGAAAAGAAAACAAGTTATAATTCATAAATCTTGTCTTCGATAGGAAGACGGTCTTCGAATTATTAATAAAGCAGTCTAGTCCGTTTCTAAATAATTACATCAGCGCTGTCATATAGCTGTCTCAATTTTAAGCATACCATGATTATATTTGGATCATATTTGGATTGAAATTTAATCTTTCATTAGAACATATTTCTGTATTAAAATTTTATAAAAGAATTTGGAACTGAGTGATACAAATTTGAAAAAATTAATAAAACATAAACGAGCGCTTTTACCTTTTAGTATAATTAATTTATGTATTAATTTAAGAACATATTGTTTGTACAAAAATTATCCAATTCATAGAAAGTTCTAACTTTCGGTGAATATCTCAATTACTCGTATATTATCAATTACTCGTACCAATTCATGAATCATTATTGGAGAAAGCGACACTTTAAGAATTATGAAAAGACATTGTTACATCATTATGACGATTTTCGAAAGTTTGCATTCGCCCCGGGGTGATCGATTTGAAAATATTACGCAATAAAGCAAGGTGCATTTGTGCCTCGCCTACGCGGCTTCACGAATAAACGGGATAACGCATGGCAGTTCGCAAAGTGCCATTCGCGGAACAACTTGTAAACGAGTCGCGGAGAATCGATTCGACATGTTCTCGCGCGGAGGGGTTGCTGGCATGCCGAGAAAAAGAAGAAAAATCCCGACGCCTTATTCTTCCTACCGCCTAGGGACACGTCCCCTCTTTCTCGTTCTCGAGAGCCACTGTGGATAATTGGGTCCGCACCCACGAAGAGCTCTCCGTCTTCCTCCCTCGTTTCCCTCTTCCTTCCGCATTCACGATCCCACGAAATCTCTCGATCCGACACGCACAGAATGTGCGACACGGTCCTTGTATGTGTTAAGCAATATGCGAAAACACGAAACATGATCGTAAAAAGTAAATGTAGTTGGAACACACCCCCGATAAACATCAATCGTAACAGTGTTATATCGATATTATAACACAATTAAAAATTTTCCATATATAATTACATAATTATATAAGGCATTTTATATATATATCCACAAAATATATATCTACACACACACACACACACACACACACACACACACACACACACACACACCGCGCGCGTGCGCGCGCCACATATGTAAAAATACATAATTATATATAAACGTATATAAACATATAAAGTGTCCGGTAAAAACAGTATTACGTAGGCAAATAAAATGGGTTATACTGAATAGAAAAATTTTATATCATTTAGCAATTTTTACAATAATTAAAGAATTATTAATTTATACGTATTTATGAGCGAGCATGAAGGGACAGCGACGTTTATGATTGTTAGGCAAGATTTTGAATGTGATCTACAAATGACAGAATATTTGTTTAAAGTGCACGCTTCCAATATATTGAAAATATTTATTTCGTTGAAATAGAAATATTTTTTAAATTATACTTTGAAAAGCTTGACTTACTTACTTAAATTATTGAACGGCACTTAATGATCTTTCTGTAGAATCCATGGAGGTTATTTTCTGCACACGATTAATGATATTCGGAAAAATATTGATTAATTTTCATATGCAATTCTCCACATGTCACAATTTAAGATTACTTGATTATATTCGTAGCTCGAATTTTTAAACGAATATATTTTACGAATTATTTTTCGCGCATATCTCATTTGCCATATTCGCATCGAATGTCGATATCAACCTGTGATATATCGAATACATCGAGTGCATCGATATATCGATTCTAACATGATTGATTCTCGCGGCGTCGCTGAATAATATAAAGTTCACGGAACTTCATGAAATAAGAAGAATGGGAGTAAAAAGAATATAATTTGCGATTGCGAAAGCAATTGTTCCGAATTTACAGACATAAATTTAATTAAGAAAAATGAAAACTATAAGACTTAAGATCCTATACGCCAAGTAATATGCATGCCATATATTATCTTGTTATTTAAAACTTATTGATTATTTATTCCTAGAATGAGCCTTGATTATTTATTCATAGAATAAGCTTGCTTCAAGTCTCTTGATATATTCTATGAGGTTTCTTGGGGTATGTTGGTAAAATTTGTAAGCGAAATCACTTTCCGCGTGTAAATTGTTGATTATACTTGGAAAATTTTGATGCGATACTCATGGTAGACATAAGTAGATTATTACTTACTCGATTATATTCGTTAATCCGAATTTTCGTATGGATATTTCACGTGAGATTTAACTATAATCTGATATTTTATCCATAGAATCTGTACAAAATTATCTTTCGCACACTAATCGTTATGTGTTATGAAAAGTATTGAATATTGTCTTTATTCATAAATGCCACAATTTCATTGTCGCAATCGCTCGATTATGTTTGTAGCCCAGGATTTTCGTATAATTGTCTTATTTATTTTTTGTTCATTATATATATATATATATATATATATATATATATATATATATTACTTATACATATATACTACTTATATATATATATATATACTACTTGACTTACCTCAATTTCTTGTTCTTCTCTCTCTCTTCAGAATTCATATGCAATCTCTATTTTCCACTCATATGTTATTGATGATATTCGAAAAATATTCATACATTTTCATTTGCGTCAGATACGTCATACGTCATAATTTTATTATTAAAATTATTCGATAACATTTGCAACCCAATTTTTGCGTCAGTATTTCATGCGCGTTTCGTCCATTATACCATAGTTCATATTAATTGCCAATGATCTTTGAATATGATTCGAATGCTGATTGACTCTTCGCACAATTGATATACATAGGCAATGTTGATGAAGTATAAGCAAATTGCCTTTTTTCTAAACAAATTAGAACGTTTCTTATTTCAATATTTTTGATAGGAATTACATGTCTACATTTTGTACTACATTTTGTATATAATAATATTCAATTGCCTTTCGACTATCTTTTGTTATTATTCTTACAAAGTTATACATTTAAATCATATAAAATGCTATGAAGAGAATATTAAAAAAATAAGTTAATATATAATCACTTTCAAATAATTTAAAATATTAGTAATTATATCGTATAAAATATATTTTGTTAATATTATATTTTAATGTTATTTTTTATTCTTTTCTTTAGTAATAATAATTCTTAGTATTTAAGTTATAGGATATTGGAAATTAGATAAAATTAAATTGTGAAGAAACAGATCTATATATTTTTTACATAGCATTTATAAAAACTTTTAATTATAAATAAATGCTTTCGAAAAGTGTCAATGATTAGATTGATATCAATTGAAGAAAAATAAAGATTAATGTATTAAAAATATCATCTGCAAATTCTCAGAATTTACATTATTTTCTAAGTAAATGCTGAGAGAACATACATAAATTGTAGTATCGAATGTCTTGATTAATAAATGCTTGAATCAAACATTGAATTTTCCAATAATTAGCTATATATTTTTTGATAGGCACCTCGATATGCTGATACAAAAACTCGATATATACGCCATTCAAAATAGTTCTATATAGTAGTTCTATAGTATAGCAATTTTATATAGTACAAATAAATTATTTCCGAGCCTATCTACATTCTTTATGATTCTTGTTGTTCAAATTTGGGATATTTTGCTTCCACTTCCACCCATGTAATTCTTCCATAAGAAAGATCCCTCACAACACCTGGCAACTCATCCAACTACAAATAAAAATTTTATCAGGTTAAAATAATAAAAAACTAAAAACATCTTTTATTTTTTTATAAATAATAAAAATTATTATATCTCCTCTAAACTAATAAAAACCTATATACATGAAAACTTTTTGCAAATTGTAGTTCTGCATTCTTCATTTATAATGAAAAAAATATACATACATTTATTCTGACTTGTCCCATGCTGTCTCTGTCTCTGAGCGTTGCGCTGTGTGGTGTCTTCATAGTGTCAAAGTCGATAGTAATACCGAACGGTATCGCTATTTCGTCAGTACGAGCATATCTACGTCCTATGCTACCGGAAGAATCATCCACTCTATGTGAGACATCCGCTTTTGTAAGATCTTGTGCTATAAAATATATTTTATAATTTAATATTTAACTTCAATACATATATTACAGATATAGAATATTTTAAATCTCTACTATCTACAATTGGCAATTTTCAATTTACAATTTTCATAAAGATTATAGGCCAAACGAAAACTCAAAACAACAAAAAAATTTCTTCTATTAGAACCTTGGTACAATATAATAACCAAACGCATATGTTTCACTTACATAATTTCTTAACAAAGGGCACGAATTCCTCGTTGCCACTGAGCGGTAACACCGAACATTTTAACGGCGCTACTACCGGTGGCAGAGCGAAATACGTCCTTTTCTCGTCACCTTCTCTCGTCCTGAAATTATGTTCGAACAGAGCATACATAATACGACCGATGCCAAAAGAAGGCTCGATTACCGAGGGTATGATCTCCTCTACATGAACAGTTTTCTGGTAACGTTTTATTTCTATCATGTCCCTCGTGATCTTCACGACGACATCATTAGGCAGTGTCAACTCATGTCCTCCGTTCTCGCTGAGAACTTTTTCCAAAGATACGATTTCGTTTTCACTCAACATCGCTAGTGCATCTTGTACTGCTTTGCTGTCCTTCTTGAATGTTTTACCAATCAGCATCTTATTCGGAATGATCTCGCAAACGTCTACCGTCTTTGGAGCGGATAGTTTTTTCTCCGCTACTAATTTTACGCCGGTGGTCTTGGTGTGCTGCGTCAAATCATATGCAGATCGGTCCGCGCATCCTACGCACTCGATCCATCCATACGATGTTAGACACTCAGCATCCCAACAGTCGCAGGCATAATGCGCCATCTCGTTGCTCATGTGCTGACGGAAGCGCAAACGATTCGGATCAACGCCGACTTTCAGCAAGAACTGGTGGATCCTAGCCATAAAGTAACCCAGTGTCTCGTTCGCTACTAAGCCGGACGAGACTGCCTCACCTATCGTGAGACGCTGCGCGCTTTTGCCATCCATCTGATTACAAGCAGAATACAACAGCATATTTATATCCTTGACCGTTGCAAATTTGGGATGACTCTTGTTGTTCGGGTCGCAAAAATGTTCTATCTCCGCCATAGTGAATTCTCGGACGCGTATAAGTCCAGATCGCGGTGAGATCTCATTCCTGAAAGCATTGCCAATCTGTGCTGCGGCAAACGGCAGTCGATCCTGATTGAACGCTAACAATCGTTTAAAGTTCACAAAGATACCTTGAGCTGTTTCTGGTCTCAAGAAACCTTTGACGAGCCCCGACGGTCCAATTTGAGTACCAAACATCAGATTAAATTCTATAGGTTCTGTCAAGTCATTACCGGAAACTGGTGATTTCATATTGTATTTCGACAAAACTGCAGCCATCTCATCTTTCGTCATACCATCCAGCTTGATAATAATATCTCTGCATTCTTCACGCGTCTGCTCGTTCGTTTTCTTGTCACTAATTACTTTCTCTAAATGCGCTTTAATTAAATGATCTAGTCGGAAGCATTCGCCAGTTTTCACATCTTTCACCATCAGATCGGCAAATCGCTCCACATGGCCAGAAGCCTTTAGCACTGGCTCAGGTGTCAAAATAGAACAATCAACTTCTAGCATCTGTTCTTCTAGCACAAAGAAATTTCTCCAAGCATTTATCAGGTTTGTCTTCAATGAACAACCCATAGGACCAAAATCATACTGACCGGTGATACCACCGTAAATTGCAAAAGATTGATCTAGAAAGAATCTACGCTTCAGGAGATCTTCCATTCGTGCCCTGTCGAATGTTATATTAGTGGAAGCTAGAGACAACTCTTTATCTTCCAGTATCTTCTTGCGTAGCTTCAGTTCTGCCACAGCTTTTTTGATGTCTAATTCTAGAGCGCCATCGGATTTCAACTTTCGTACATAATCACCCTGCAAAGAGCAATCAGTTATATTTCAAGAAAAACTTTATAAATATATAATGTAATGAGAGTAAAATATCAATAATTAAATATAGTAGAAAATTTATTATGTATACAATACGTAATATATAACACTTGATCTTAATCTTGATATTAATCATTCATCAGATGAGCTTACAATATAGATCTATTTTATCATTAATTTATTTGAAAGACTTCAGTTCTTTATGAAAAACTCTAATTACAATTATTGATTTATGACACATTTGTCATTTTTCAAAATATTGAAACTGATTATTCATCTTGCAAAATTTGCCAACATTTATTTCGACCAAATTACTGCCGAGTATTAGAACTGATGCCTTGCCGAGATTTACAATCCCTACTTTGCATCCATATGGCACTCACTTGTTCCTTGACGCTCGCTCGAAGCGGCGCCAGAGCTTCTTCGACCTTAGGATCCGTCATATCGAGAATGAGGGCGATCTTTAGGTTCCTGTTTGCTTTCTTGCTACCCCACCGGCTGAAGTCGAGCACACTGGCGGTGACTGCGATGCCTTTGACAGGTGGTCTCGTGAGTGGTATGTCGCTGGACACGCGGTACGCCGCAACCGTACGCGCGATCTGATGCAAGCCGCGTCTGAGAGGCTGCATTCGCCGCGAAAGTGATTGCGCGATACACCTTCACGCGGTTCCACGCGCGCCATGTGGTGATGCGGTTCCGCACCATAGCTTGTTAGGTTATCCGCGGCACCACGTCCGAATTCGTACGGGGCTGAGGACCCGCGCGGAAATTTGAAATCGGTATGAGATGGCATCAATAAAATATTGAGAATCTAAAAATCAACAGACTTAGCGAAAATCTCAGAATTTTAACAGAATGGCTAATTTGTAATTTTAAGACAGTGTTTATTTTTACATAACACTATATATTTTTATTATATGTATAAAAAATAAAGTTATATATAATACATTTATATATAACTTATAAATACTATATATTATATAAACACTACATTTATTATTGTACAGCAGTTTATCGTAAATCATAAATACTTCTTTAGTTTAAAATTCTAAACATAAAATAATTATTATGCATCACTTAAGATAAAGACTTACAGCATAAGACATTGTCTTAAAATTACAATTATTCTGCTAAAGTGTTTATAAATGCGCACAACTGCTAAAATTTGGAAATAAGTAATTCATATAATATTAATTTTGATTTATTATTATTTTGCTCGTAAATATATATAATAATATATATATAATAATATAATAATATAATATAATAATAATATATAATATAATAATATATATAATATTTGATTTTTATTTAAAATTATATTTCCATTTCATCAAATTTAAATATTTTTATGAATAATAATTGAATGAAAAAAATGCAGTTTTTGTAGTATATACGTCGTATATACAATACAATTATTAGTCAGAAACTATTTATGAGACTTTTATAAAATAAAAAGTTAAATGAATGTAATACTGCATTATAAACTATCTATTCAGAAACCTATTTTTTTAACTTTATGGAAACATAGGGAAAAAATTTTATGATAATCGGCGTTACTTTTATCAATTATATATTTTATTTGCTATCTATGTATTCTTATTTGATTTAATTATTTATCTCTTTCGTCAACTTTTCGTCGATAAGTATGATACAAAGTTACGAATACCGTCTGTACTGTCTCTACATGTCTGTACATTCTATGATTAAAACTAACAGTAACGTAACAAATTTTCACTGCACCTGGCCTTAACTTTCTATTCATCATTCCAAACAAAACAAATAAGTAAAAAATTTATTTAGCAAATTATTATCTTATCGCACTATAAATTTTTATTAGATTCTCTTAATTAAATAAGAAGATATATGTGTATTATGTTTTTGAATAGTTCAAATTATACAAGAAAAATCAATAATAGTAATTATAAGATATTTCACTCTATTTTATGCATATTAATATTAAAAAGTATAATTTATTCTTAGACTTGCTTTATGAAAAATATCTAATTACATTTATTTGCACTTACTACAGTAATAACCTTACTGTAAAATTATTATTTGTGTAAATACAGTTGAACAATATTGCAACGGAACTGACTGAAATCCTATATATATATATATATATATATATTATATCTAAATAATTTAAAATTTAATACTTATTTAAAGAATATATCCCATTATTGTGCTTCAAAACGAAACAGAATAAAATGTACGACTTTCATTTTATATAACAACATTATAAATTTCAAGTTATCCGTAGGAAACAAACCCGTTTAATATCCGAATACTTTTATTTTGTCTCACATACGTTATAGCGCGTTTGATAAAAAAAAAAGTTACAATGAAAATACGAAATGGAATATTAAGCTTGTTAGAAAAAAGAAAGAATAGGAGACTGCAACATAAAGCACTGTTAATCCACCGCTGGCAAATTTATTATTAAATTTATTTAACTTTTCTCAATAAACCCAGCCTGCGTGTAACATGCATTGTTAGTCATCCTAACGTGTACAGACGAAGAGCGTGTGTCGCGAAAATCTTATCACGTCGACGTAGAATTTTGGACTGAAAGACGGATCTCTCGTGCTGATTAGACGAGTTGCTTGTTTAATAATTCCAATAAGGTCGCGACCCCACGATCATCCCTTACAATACTAAGCATTTACACATCGCGACGCGTACTTCCGCCGCACGCTGAAGACGGACGCTCCTCTCAATATTTTCGCACCATCATAATTATAATTAAATCGTAAATCTATTGAATTGTCGCGAAATCTTTTCACGTGGAAAACATTTCAGGTCTATTTCAAATTTTAATTCCTAGGTCCTACGTACGGCGATTTTTTTCTATGATTTTGCAAGATTTCTTGTAAGTACACGATAGGGAGATTCGTTTATTTTTTGTTTATTGGATGATTTTTTAAATATATCTTTAATATGTCTTCTCGTAAAATTTGCCGAATAAGAATAATCTGTTCTCGAAATCAGATGAATGCATTTAGCATTAAACATGCGGCGAAAACATGCCTGTGAGTTAATTTTTGTTTGGGCAGATGCAAAAAGATGAATATTGTAAAAAAAACAATATACATAGGCTTCTTCTCTCTCTCTCTCTCTCTCTCTCTCTCTCTCTCTCTCTCTCTCTACTCTACTACTACTACT